ATCAACTAATTACCTGCGCCTGCGCTGTGATACAAGGTCTATTTGGTCTCCCCCGTGAATTGCTGTTGCTTGTCTTTTCCCCTTTTAAAACCAATAGAGGAAAGCCATTGTTTCGCCGGCTCAAGCCGTTGCACTCGAAACTTACCCAACCGAACTCAAACCGACTCGAAGATTAGCACTCTCCCTCTGGAGTCTACGTGTGTGTGTGTGTGTGTTCGTGTGTGTGTGTGTGCGCGTGTGTTTCTGTGTGTGCGTGTGCGTCTGTGCATGTGGGTGTGTGTGTGTCTCTCTGTGCGTGTGCGTGTGTGCACGCGTGCGTGCGTGCGTGCGTGCGTGCGTGCGTGCGTGCGTGGGTGGGTGGGTGGGTGGGTGGGCGGGCGGGCGGGTGGGTGGGTGTGTGTGTGTGTCTGTCTGTCTGTCTGTCTGTCTGTCTGTCTGGCTGTGCTGTGCTGTGCTGTGCTGTGCTGTGCTGTGCTGTGCTGTGCTGTGCTGTGCTGTGCTGTGCTGTGCTGTGCTGTGTGTGTGTGTGTGTGCGTGGCGTGTGTGTGTGTGTGTGGTGTGTGCGCGCGCGTGTGTGTGTGTGTGTGCGCGCGTGCGTGCGTGCGTGCGTGCGTGCGTGCGTGGTGTGCGTGCGTGCTGCGTGCGTGCGGTGTGCGCGCGTGCGTGGTGTGTGTGTGTGTGTGGTGTGTGTGTGTGTGGTGTGTGTGTGTGTGTGCGTGTGTGCGATTGTGTGCGTGTGGGTCTGCGTCCGTGTCCGCGCGCGCATGCGTGCGTGCGTGCGTGCATGCGTGCGCGCGTGCGGGGCGGGCGGCGGGCGGGCGTGCGGGGCGTGCAAGCGTGCGTGCGTGCGTGTGTGGGAGTGTGTGTGTAGGTGCGTGTGTGCGTGCGTGCGTGTGCGTGTACGTGCGCGCGCGTGTGCCTGTGTGTGTGTGTGTGCGTGTGCGTGTGCGTGTGTGCCTGTGCGTGTGCGCGTGTGCGTGTGTGTGCGTTTGTGTGTGTGTGTGCGTTTGTGTGTGTGCCCCGTGCGTGCCTGCGTGCGTGCGTGCGCGCGTGCGTGCATGCGTGGGTGTGGCGTGTGTGCGTGCGTGCGGGCGGGCGGGCGTGGGTGGATGGGTGGGTGTGTGTGTGTGTGTGTCTGTCTGTCTGTCTGTCTGTCTGTCAGTCAGTCAGTCTGTCTGTCTGTCTGTCTGTCTGTGTGTTTGTGTGTGTGTTGTTGCGTGCTTGCGTGCGTGTGTGTGCGCGTGCGTCTACTTGCCTGTGTGTGTGCGCGTGCGTCTACTTGCCTGTGTGTGTGTGTCAGTGTGGTGTGTGTGTGTGTATCTCTGTGTGTCTCTGTGTCTGCGTCTCTCTCTGTGTGTGTGTGTGCGCCTGTGTGTGCGTCGCTGTGCGCACGTGCACGTGCATGTGTGCATGTGCGTTTGCTCGTGCATGTGCGCGCGCGCGTGTGTGTGTGTGTGGGTCTGTGTGTGTGTGGGTGTGTGTGTGTGTGCATGTTTGTTTGCGTTCGTTCGTTCGTTCGTTCGTTTGCTTGTTTGTGTGTTTGTTTGTTTATGTGTCTGTTTGTTGTTCGTTTGCCTGCTTGATTGCTTGCTTCCTTGCTCGCAGGCTGGTTTGTTTTGTTCGTTTGGTTGTTTGTTTGCTTGGTTGGTTGGCTGGTTGATTGATTGTTAGGTTTTTTTGGTTGGTTGGTTGGTTGTTTGTGTGTCTGTTAGTTTGATTGACTGAGTGATTGGTTGATTGATTGATTGATTGATGGATGCATTGGTCTGTGTTTGCTTGTGCTTGTTTGAGAGGCTAAGCACAGCTCTTATTCAAATCACCACGTCACAAATGAGAGTGGGCCGTTTGAAGGAAACGGCAAAGCCTGCGGATGAACCATCGAGGTTTGGTGTGCATGCAAGAAAATCACCTGCAAAATGCACGTTGGGGACATGTGCACAAACGACGCCAAGAAGCACGAACTGGCTCGCAACTCAACCGGGGGTGGTTGAAGGAGTTCCCACACCCGGAAAGACGGCAGAACCCCCACTCCTTGCGCCACACCCTGGATTTCCGAGAGCCCGTGCTTATGTGGCCTAACCGGGGCTGAAAAGGCAACATGTTTATCTTCCTTGCGGAAGAAGCTCTGGGCGTAGGTGGCCGAAGTCTGACTGAGAGCCCAAATACCATTTCCCAAACCATTAAGTACATCCATTTTCCCTCCAATTGAAGTTGGATTGACCACGACAATCTGAAGGAAATCAGATCCTTGCGGACCAGGATTGCTTGCTTCCCCAAAGCGCTGATTATAATTCACCTACCGAAAATGCACGAAGACCCCTATGAAAGCGCAACCTTAAGACGGCCCGACGAGCGCACACTTTGAACCCTAGTTTCCTCAATGAGTCAAGTTTACGGGCTCATTACGGAGCCAAAAGAACTGAGGATTCATTTAACTTTTCTTGGCCTTCGATTAGTATTCCCCAAAGGGGAGCCTTGAGGGTCTTTGTGGGGTGGGTCGCAGGGTCCATGACAAATGGCCCAAGTGGCCTTTCCTAAGACTAAATCTCGCATTTTCTTGAACATGACTATTGCGACCTGCAGGGAAAACCAAAGAGAAATCAAGCACCTGGGGTCCCAAACCTTGAGCAATCCGCAAGGGCAGTTTCTCTGTGGCTTTGCGCAACCGCCTGGCAACAACAACTGCTCGATCGCGCCTCGGGGGGCATGGGATAGACCGTGTCTGTGGCATCCACGGCTCCCAGCTGTGACCGACTCTCCGATTCGCCGGTCTGCCAGAAGATGCGTTGATGAATGGATGGATGGATGGATGGATGGATGGATGGATGGATGGATGGACGGGCTCGGGTTTTGTGCCGTATGTAGAGTGGCTATGTGTTGCAGCACCTATAAACTTAAAGAACACAGCAAACTACACGTAGTCTTGCCAACTGGATTTGTGGACAATTCCACAAATGTCTTGGTTAAACAGTCGTCATTGTGATTCAAATGGGTGGTCCAACCACTCAAACTCGTAGCACTGGGTGTGTCTCAACTAGACCACGGTTGGCCCGAAAGCAGAACATCGCAAGCGAGGTCGGCCCAACGCTGCAGGATGCGTTCTTTTTCCCTACACGAAGCATTCGTGAAGCAAGCGCGAGACAGCACCAGGCAAGGTGCTCTGCGCAAACTGGTCGGTGCAAGTTGGTCTGCGCAAGTTGCTCTACGCAAGTTGCACTGTGCAAGTTGCTCTGCGCAAGTTGCTCCGCGCAAGTTGCTCCGGCAAGTTGGTCCCTGCAAGTGGCTCCCTGCAAGTTGCTCTGTGCAAATTGCGCTCCCTGCAAGTTGCTCTGTGCAAGCTGCTCTGTGCAAGTTGCTCTGTGCAAGTTGCTCTGCGTAAGTTGCTCTGCGCAAGTTGCTCTAGGCAAGGCGCTCTGCGCAAACTGGTCGGTGCAAGTTGGTCTGCGCAAGTTGCTCTGTGCAACTTGCTCTGCGCAAGTTGCTCTGCGCAAGTTGCTTTAAAATGCAAGTTGCATCTTGCGACGCCCGCCCGCGGACCAGGGAGGAATCGAACCCGCGACCCGCCGGTTCCGGGAGCAGGCGCGCGAACCACGAGACAACTCCCGAGGACCAGTTCGAACAACAAAAGTCGCGAAAAACCTCGAGTTTTTGCACCTCCACCACGCCGATCCCCGCAGAGGGTTGCGCGAGCACCGCAGAAATCGCAAAAAACCTCGAGTTTTTGCACCTCGACCACGCCGATCCCCGCAGAGGGTCGCGCGAGCACCGCAGAAATCGCAAAAAACCATGGGTTTTTGCACCTCGACCACGCCGATCCCCGCAGAGGGTCGCGCGAGCACCGCAGAAATCGCAAAAAAAACCATGGGTTTTTGCACCTCGACCACGCCGATCCCCGCAGAGGGTCGCGCGAGCACCGCAGAAATCGCAAAAAACCATGGGTTTTTGCACCTCGACCACGCCGATCCCCGCAGAGGGTCGCGCGGGAACTTTAGAAATCGCAAAAAACCATGGGTTTTTGCACCTCGACCACGCCGATCCCCGCAGAGGGTCGATTTTCGTGTAGTGTCGTCGGCACTACCCCGCCGCCCTAAGAAGAGATTTTAACTCCTCGCAAGTCAATTGCACTTGACTCCTTGCACTTGCAACTTGCACTTGACTCCTTGCTTGTTTCAAGGAGTCATTGCAAGGAGTCATTGCAAGGAGTCATTGCAAGGAGTCATTGCAAGGAGTCATTGCAAGGAGTCATTGCAAGGAGTCATGAGAGCCATTGCAAGTTGCAAGGAGCCAAGTGCATGGAGTCAAGTGCAAGTCGCAAGTGCACGGAGTTAAGTGCAAGTTGCAAGTGCAAGGGCCAAGTGCAAAGGAGCCAAGTGCAAGGAGCCAAGTGCATGGAGTCAAGTGCAAGTTGCAAGTGCATGAGTCAAGTGCAAGTTGCAAGTGCAAGGAGTCAAGTGCAAGTTGCAAGTGCAAGGAGTCAAGTGCAAGTTGCAATCCTTGCCATGACTCCTTGCAATGACTCCTTGCAATGACTCCTTGCAATGACTCCTTGCAATGACTCCTTGCAATGACTCCTTGCAATGACTCCTTGCAATGACTCCTTGCAATGACTCCTTGCAATGACTCCTTGCAATGACTCCTTGCAATGACTCCTTGCAATGACTCCTTGCCATGACTCCTTGCAATGACTCCTTGCAATGACTCCTTGCAATGACTCCTTGCAATGACTCCTTGCCATGACTCCTTGCCATGACTCCTTGCAATGACTCCTTGCCATGACTCCTTGCAATGACTCCTTGCAATGACTCCTTGCAATGACTTTCATGATGATGATTCTTGCAATGACACCTTGTAATGACTCTCATGAGAACAACTCAAGTGAACCCAGCGGAAGAACCCTTCGCCATGCTTTCGGGAAAAATCGAGAATGCCCAAAGTTTCCCTTCAAATCTACCCAAATAAAGGTACCCTCAACACAAATGACACACCCATGTAACATGTCCACCGTGGGTTCATGTGGGGGATCTGCCGTAGGACCCTACGAGCTCAGAAGGCTAAGCAACAGGTTCTCCAGGACAATAACATCTTGAAACACTTTAATGACCCCCCCCCGGCCCAACAAATCATCTTCAATCCTGAACCCCTGCCTAAGAAAAGCAACGCAAGCAAACAAGCAAACACATCGCGAAGTTGAACCTGAACCCTTCCCCGCACCATTTCCGAATTCCGCCTGCCTCCAAGTAAACCACGAAACTCTGCACCTCCAAAGGGCGCCGAAGGCCGGGTAAGCTGGCAACGCATCCCGGAGGTGACCTCTTTTAACCGTGCGGCGAGTTGTCGATTCCCGGAGACGTAAGCCTTTTGACTTTCAACCAATCCCCTTGAGGAACTACGCTGACACCCCGAGAGGGTTTGGGACCCGGTCCCTTCTGGCCAAGGGGCTCTGAGAGGCAAACTACCAAACTTGCTTCCCACCTTTGATTTCCACACCCACCAAAATCAAGGTTTGTTAATCCGGGCTTCAAGAGTGTCTTTCACAAATCTTCCGAGTCCAGAAACTTTGGATTTGAGAAGCCAAGACGACCAGCCGCACCGCAAACGGCCGGAGAGGGAAAGTCTTAAAGGTCATTTTGGGTTGTGAAGGGAAAGGACCCCGTACCAAGTTCACTCTGGTTTTGACCGTGCCTGTTGGAGGGGAACTCGCTGAAACTTTCCAGCTTGCACCAGCCTCTCAAAACACTGATCCTTGGACTTTGCTCAAGGACATAGGACTAGATTCAACTGTTCCTGTGCAAAGTGCCACCCGTCTCTGAAACAAACAAGTTGAACAAACTGGGGGGTTGTTGCGCACGATTTTGGCCTGGCCTTTGGGGCACTGGGAGGGATCACGAGATAAACGCTATGGACTCAATAAAGAGCTATTTCGAAGCAACACCAAAGGGGAAACCAAGGAGTTGATCCGTTGCGAGTGAAACAGACGGGGGGGGGGGGGGGCTTCGTTTGCTCTTTCACCTGTGGGTATCTTGGCTATTGGTTGAATCGCTTTGGGCAAGAGAGGCTAATGATGTGCATTGGACCAAAACTGGGCTGGTCTGTAACCCATTACGCCCGTTAGCCGGAAGCTGCCATTTCCAAAGAGTCAAATCCGTTGCAGGTCAAACCAAATAGCAGCCAAGTATGGGGGCGGAAGGGTTTCTCGATGGACTGATGGATCATGCAAGAGCGACACGAGGTAAGAAGCTTTGTTTACTGAGTTTCTTCCCCCCAGAAGAACAAGGCTTTTTGAAATTGGTGCTGCTAAGAAGCAATGTCCGCGGAAGCGAGCAAATGGGAGCCATCAGGTTGCCGTCAAGCTTCCAACAGGGTGCCACTAGGGGAGCCTTTCACATCGAGACTATGCGGACCAGCACCCCCCCCCTTTCGGCTGGTATTGAAAGGGAAACTTAAACCAACACGAAGCCGTCTCCATTTTAGGTGAGCGATTCCTACTTTGAGAAACTCGCATTTGGCATTTTCTCCCCCCCTAAGCCTTGAGGTCTTTGGGGGCGTCGGGTCCCCTTTCCGATGCGAACCATGCCCAGACCTGCCATGGGCAAAACAGAGGCGCCCCTTTGTTGACACTTAGCCTCTCCTCGCACTTGTTTGGTGTACTTGATGTTCGAGGAAGCCTCAACTTGTTCGCGTGGGTCATTTATTGATTTCAAAGCGAACCCGAAGCAGGGTTTAAATATTTTATTGATTATTATCTTTTGTTGATCTTAATCATTGGGTTTAAATAAAGGGACACCCACCGGAAAAAAAATAAGAGGGGGGACAACCGCCAAACCGTTGGCTGAAAATGCGACTCTCGTTCGGTCCGAATCGATGGCCCGCCTGGGCCAAGTCCCCGACTGAGAGCTCCCAGGTAACGTTGCCCCCGAGTTCAAAAGCGTCCAGGTCCTTCGCGGCAGCTGATGTAGATATTTTCTTGAATAATTAATGCAACCCCCCCCCCCGTCGGACAGAACCGCTATCATATAACAAATCCTTTCCGAAGCCCCTTGGAACCTGGTATGTCAGCAAATAACCGCGTTCTAAGCAATCAAAAAGTCCAGACATACCAGAAACTGAAGAAACGGCTAACAGTTGAGTAAACCCATTTGGGCCGGATTTTTTGTTTCGGAGGGCACCGATTGTTGGGTCTTCGAAGGGAACCCACAGAAAGACCGCCCAAAACCAGCCCGAGGAGCTCCTCAAACTCCAAACCCATCAGTGCTTCCAGGCAAGCCACTATATATAGGTAACCAGGATATCCATCGTGTAAAACCTATAGGTAACCTCTGTAAATATACATATATATATATATATATGATATGTATTATTCCTTCCAGTTTTCTCTGTGGGGCAAGAAGCCCTGGTTACCTGTAGTGGTAACTGGCATCCCTGGATTGGCATAGCTCTAACGAGCCCTGTGCTGATATCACGCCTGGTCCGTGAAGTTGGCCACAAGGGCCAACCCAGCATCGCTCAGGGCCTCGCGAAAACAGCGGTGTAGGCGAGGTTCCCAACTTTTCTTTCGCTTCCCTTTCCAAAAAGAGGATTCAGTTTCTTCACAATCATCAGATTCTAGGTTGCCAAAAGGACCTCTCATGCTGGGCTCTCCGTCTAAACTTACCGTGTTTCCTTTTAAAGAAGCATTTCCGCACATTAAACCGAATCCTCAGCTGGTCCCCCTGACATGCCTGGTTTGCCACACTGCGAATCAAATCTTGACCCTTGCTCAGAGAAAGCACCAAACAACTCAGCTAAACTGGGATAAATCCGGAGCACTATATAAATTAGTTGGAGGAATCCACTTAAGATGATTGAATCCCGCAGAAGTTGGTTGCCACTGCTGACTAGTCCTGAGAAAAATCAGAAAGGAAGGCCACATATACGTATGTTAGTATTAATTACATGTGGTGCAAGGATAAAATTGTGCATAATTGAACAATATTTTGTTTTTTTTAATAACACATTAGATGTTACACAGCTAAATGAAGTCATTAAACTAGTTCAAACCAAACACTGCATTTTAGACTACAGTATGGTCCTCGGCAGAAATCTGAAGTATTCAAACAAAGCAAAAGACAATCTCAAGTCAGGTTGCGGGAAGGTGGTTGTGCCTCTTTGGCCCAACCCTGGGGTACTCGACCTAGTAAACCTCAAAAAGATGTTCCACTCTGCCACCAGCATAGGAGACTCCGATTGAAATCCACATACTTTCAAAGGAGACCCCAGCGTCGGTCAAACAAACAACTTGGTGGTTGGAGCTTTCCAATCAAAGAGCATCCAAGACCTACCTAAAGAAGACCCCCCCAAATAGGCAAGAAAATAAATCGAAGGAAGTCGAAGGCCTGGGCCGTAGGGGTGCTCTGTTCCGCCAAGGCGGAGCGCCCGTAGACAGCCACAAAGGCGAAGGCACTGAGGGACGTGTTCTCAGCCAGCGCCTAACCCGGAGCCCGGCAAGCCAAGCTGAGAGTGGGTTTTGTCGATGAAATCTGCAAACAGTTGAACCAGAAGCAAAATAATATGCCTACATGGGCTTCCAACTAGATTTTCTGCCAAGAAACCCAAGGACTCCAAAGGACAGTATCAAGTAGAATCACAAATCGCCACGGTTCCGCGTGCTCAAGTCGGGATTGGTCCAACCTCGTTCCTTGTTCGAACCTCAGGATGTGTCAAAACTCGGAGCCTGACGGTTTGGCAACGTGACCTACCTGACACCTCAAATAAGGTCTGTGAAAGACACCGAGAAACAAGACAAATGGCAGCCCGCCAAAACACATAAGATTTGGGTTCGAGCGGGGCCGCGACAAAAACGGCGAGTGACGAATCGACTCAGGTCCACTCAGGTGCAGTGACAAGCAAAACGCGCAAAGATGCCCAGTGGTCAAGGCCCCAGAAGGCCACGCTGTTGCATAGTGGTGCAAAGACCAAGTGACTGGGGCTTGCTCTGGACCCCCACAAGTGGAAAAGGGACTCCCACTTACTCTCTGAAAGAGGGAGTCTCATTCAAACAAAAAGGTGGCTGAAAAGGCCCGTCTCACAAGCCCAACAAGCTGAGATCGCATCCTTGATCTTTGCTTCGCTGCACCGCTAGGCCATGGCTATGGAAAATGCAAACTTGTTGTTCGGTTTCTGGACCGAAGTGTGCCATCCCTGTGACTATTCTGTCACACCTGGAAGGGAAATCCCGTTGTGCTCCTAAAAAGCCCAATATTTCACAACCTTGTGTCAGGCTTATTGTTGTGTAGAATTTACCCCATACTCCAAATACAAACTGTTGAAGGTGCGATGTCAACAAGTAACAAACTACCTTGGTTTCCGGAAAATACCGAGAGCAAGTGGGTATTGGGAGTCGGGGCTAGTTTCAATTGCGAAGGACCTGTAAGTCTTCCGGGATGGGAAAGCAAACATCTGAATGCTCTTTGGCGTGGAATAAAGACACCTATTCCTTCCTTGGACGTGGGTTTATGGCAATGGACATCCTTGAGGACGAGGTCACAGCAAAAAGACACAAGGCGGTCAGACGCCCGCCCTCGCCAGCTCCAAATACTCTGACGAACAAAGGCGGTATTTACCTTGGAGAAAACCTGGAGTGTTTTATGATATACCCTTAGCACAACCCTGAAAACCTAGGAGGCAGTCCATTTTCCGTGCCTGGGATGCGCCATCCGTCGCGCCAACAAGGCTTCGGCCGTAGCCGGACGCGTTCTGGCTGAGATAAATCACGTAGTCCTAGCAAAGAATAGGAAAGAGAATGCAAACTTTCTTGGAGCTAAAATGACTGTACCTTTTTCTGGAAGGGATCCCTCTTGAGTTGTTCCACGTACCCCGGGGGAGACTGCTTGAAACCCAAGCAATGGGCGATTGTTCATTGTTATTAGGGTTCGTAAGCTTCCGGAAGTCTTGGGAAGTAGCCCCAGAGATTGCTTTGAGTAGCAAGCGGCAGGGTTTGCAGAGCTGTCTTAGGTTTCGCAAGCTGCAATATCGACTTGAAGCTCACTTCCTGAGTGGCTTCCTCCGACCCCCCCCTAGAAATTAGTCCACCTGCGTTGGTTACTTTCAATTGGACACCCTTTGGACACCCTTTGGACAGTTGAACTCAGAGCCATTTAGGTATGGCTCTTGCTTGGTCAAAGGATCCCCCAATCTCCAAATGGTTGAGGCCTCAAAAGCCGGTTCCCGATGGTTTTCGCTTCACATCGACACCAAAGAGGGCACCTCCACCTCAGTCGTACCGATCCGATCCGATCGCCTGCAGCTGGGCGAGGCTCTCAGCAGTCCACGACACCTCGCCGCCCAGCTCGCCTAGATCCAGGTCCTGCCAAACGTCAGCATCGTTTGTCTAGGGACCCCACAAAAGGGTCGATTCTCCGTAACCCGAGTTACCAAAATGACACAAATGTTCACCCACAGTTTGTGCGCGTGGACAAGGTCCAAAGGATACCTTTTGGCTAGTAACACCGCATGTTGTTTGTGGGGGTGGTACCCCTTAAGCAAAAGGAAACTCCAGATGCCTGGTGACTGTGCAAAAGAGCACCTTTGCAATGTGTGTTTTTTGCAGGGAACCCTGCAACCAAAAAGGGATTTAGAGGATGGACATCGCTGAGTCACTGGTCGATTCCCAGGAATGCCTATCCCTATGAATGCTACTACGGGGTTCTATGATTTCTATGTTAATCTGAAGGGGAGAAAGATCCGCGTGTAGTTCCCAACAAATGAATGGAACCATCCCAAAGAGGTCCGATTCCCAAGAGGAGACTCAGTTTCTGAAAATGGTTGTTTTGGCTGGTTCCATGCAAATCTGCGCAATATCAAAATCATGGCTCCCTATTTTTTCTTCGGTGTCCTTTGGGTTCCCATTGAAACCAACCCCCAAAAAGTAACCAGAAACATGTTTCCGCCGTTTTCCACACCCTATTGAACCAAACAAGGGAAGAGTGGGCCCTAGGCTCCCCAATATATCCCATACGGGTCTGTCTCAATCCCTGTGACACCAAAAAGGGATATGCATATTGTTACGTCGTTGCTCGAAAGGGGCATCTCTTGGTACCACAGAAACTCCCGGAAATCTAAGCCCCAGCAAACCGCATTTGCTCTCCCCAGCGCCACTGGGCTCTCTCTGCCAGGGGCTTTGTGCAGTTTTCCAGGATGTTCTCAAGGCTGCGCTGGGGATACTTGGGGTCATCTGCCAAAATAGGGGGCCCACAAATGTCGGTGTCCCTTCAAACAACCCCAAAAGGAAACCATCAAAAACACACATAACCCAAATGGGTATCTGTGCTTTGGGACATATTTTGTTCACAGCGTCGTTGCAAAAAACGAGAACTTCAAAAGTGGAACAGCTTATAGTTTCGAGAGCAGGCCTTTGATGTCCTTTGATGTTCTATCAAAATTGGGGGTGTCCTACAATGCAGGGCCCGTTTGACCTTGAAAGCGAATATCAGGGGAAGGGTGTCATTTGACCATTGAAAGGATGCCAATTCCTCTGCAATTCCTTTGATTGGAAACTGCCATCAGCAGGTCTGTGGGTTTGTCTCAAAACAGGCAATCGAAACCAAAAGGCGAGGGCTGAATTCAGGGTATCCCCTCACAACTGGACATCCAAGTTAAAGAGCCAAAAGGGCGGCAAATGTCTGCGCCGATTTTTGGGAAAGTCCCAAACTCTAACTAACCATCATCAGCTTTGACAGAGACACCTGGTTCATCTGTTGCTGCAAGATGTAACGGGCTTCCAGACTTCGGGTGACGTAGAAAAAGGGGACCTGGTTGGTAGTTGGACCACCGCCCACAACCGCCCGTGGGACGAACTCCATTTTTTTGGTGTTTTTGTGTTTGAACTCATTTTTTCCGTTTTTTTGGGTGTGGTTGAGAAGGGGGGGGTGGGGTGGGGGGGAGATGATTACGTCACTTCTTTGAGTTTGCTTGACAAGAACTTCTTTATTTCCTGTTTCTGTGGGGTGTGTGGCGTTCTTTGTTAGTGTGCTGAGCTGTCTTGTTTTGCTTTAGCTTCTTGTGCCCAAGCCATGGTGTCAGAAGACGTTCGTCTAGCGTTTGCCCTCATCATCTTGCTGCGTTTGGCTGGCGTCTCGCACTGCTTCTCCACACACTCGGTGCTCGGTCCTTTCTTCACTGTCTGGCTGCCTTACTTGGACTCTTTTCTGGACGTCGCATCCCAACCAGCGGACCCCATCTCGTCCTTTGTGTCTGCTGTCATTGTATGCCCACATAGGTTTCCGCTTGACTTTTCGGTTTTAGGCGGCTTGTGGTCCACCTGGTGTGCATCCTGGAGTCGTCATCTGCTGCGCCCTTGCTCTGCTTCCATCGGCGTGGCCTCCGCTTGTTGGGTCTTGTCTCGTCGCTTGTCTGGCCTACGTCTCATGCCTGCGCAGCCAACCTCCCTCTTCGCCATGGCCCACTCCCCCTCGCCTGCGCACGCAGCTTTGGTGGCTTCTCCTGGTTCTCCCTCAGCTGCTGTTCCTCAGCTGCATTTGTTTGGTCGTGTTAGTGTTCTTTTTGGTTTACAGCTTTTGTTTGTATTTTTGGTTTGTTATCTTCTGTGTCGTTTGGCACGCGCTATCCAGAGTGGCCCGAGGTGGTGATGAGTCCTGGGAGTGTTGCGTCCCGGGCGGCGCCTGCTTGCTCAGTTCCGAGAGTTTCCGCTCGGCCCCGATCACCTCGCAGGCCGCGCTGTCTCGCGCTTCGGCCGGCACATGGCGCTTCGGGTTAGGGTGTTTTTTGGTGTGCCTGATACTTTTTGGGGTCGCTCTTCGTGTTTGCGTGGGATACAGGCTGCGGACAGCCCTTCATGTTTGACGCCTCGTCGCATGTCCAGCTATGTCAATGCGCTCTCTGAACAGGGGGCGGCTGCATTGTCTCCGGCCCGATCTACAGACTCCCCACACACGTGGGGCCTGAAGCGAGACTTTGTTGACAGTTAATCTTTTTGTTTGTTGCTGCGAGTCTGGCTGTTGCTGGGAACCAACCCTTTTTCACTGCTGCTATGCAATGTTTCAGGCTTTGCCCGCGGACAAGCGCGGGCTGCGTGGGAACTGCGAAAGGAGCCATTGAGTCCCATCAGCGTGCCTGCGAGTGATGAGATGCTTGGCTCAACTCTGGGGTGGTTTTTGCTGGCTTTGTTGATTGAAATGTAGGAAAGGGATAGGGCTGCCACAAATGGTTTGCTCAAACTTGTTAAGGCATCTCGTAGCTTTTCCAGAGCGCACGAGGTCTGCAGAACTCTCGCCCGACATGTTTGCCAGCTCCATGGATGTGAACTGTGCTTTGCGGCCGGAGGCGGGGGAGCTCTTGCCCGACATGTTTGTTAGCTCCATGGATGTGAACTGTGCTTTGCAGCCGGAGGCGGGGGAGCTCTTGCCCGACATGTTTGCCAGCTCCATGGATGTGAACTGTGCCTTGCAGCCGGAGGCGGGGGAGCTCTTGCCCGACATGTTTGCCAGCTCCATGGATGTGAACTGTGCCTTGCAGCCGGAGGCGGGGGAGCTCTTGCCCGACATGTTTGCCAGCACCATGGATGTGAACTGTGCCTTGCAGCCGGAGGCGGGGGAGCTCTTGCCCGACATGTTTGCCAGCTCCACGGACGTGACCCGTGCTTCGAGCGGATGGCATGCTGGTGTGGCTTCCTGGTCGCAGCCCGATAGCGCAGACCACGATGCCAATGATGATGTTGACGATGATGCAGATGAGCCACGGCCCAGCAGTGCGCATTCTCGACCGCCTTTGTCAGAGACTCTCGGACAGGCAGTCAAAAAGCTGCCTCGGCGAGAAACGAAATATGGATGGTGTTCTGCCCACAGCCGTGCCTTGGAGATCAGGGTTGGGTACCGAGAGCTGTACAGTGGAAAGCCGGTATGTCGCTGCCCTTTGTTTAGGGAGACTCTTCCCAGTGGCAAAAGAGCCTGCTGGACGCAGCGTGCGTTTTTGGGTCAGCACGACGAGCTGCCATTGGCAATTCGGAACCAAGGCTTTGAAGCAAGACTAACGTTGGGCCTTGCCCCATGGCCCTCAAGCAAAGCGCGGGGAGAGTGTGTGAAAAAGTGGCACTTTCTGAGCAGTGCAGCGTGCGCATTGGAGCAGTGTGGCAAAGCTGTTTTCTGGCCTCAAGTAGAGCCCCTGACACAGTTAGCATGCAGATCAGCTCAGCACTGGTCTTGTTTCACGCTACGAAGTTGGCTGCTGTTCTCCGCGCGGCCATGGAGGACACGGGTGGCTCATGGACGCAGGATGTGTTGACGGCCATGCTTCGCCAAGTCCAAGAAGCCACCATGCGCTTGTTCGTGCTGTTTTGCCCGCACGAGACGGAGGATCTCACGATGTTCGGATTGTGATTCTGACATTGGAAAGTGTGTTGGAAGGGCTTCCACACTTGTGAGACCTGTGGTTCACGGCGCTCTCTTTGCCTGAAACTGCTACCTGCGTGCCTCCCCCAGCCTTCCAAGAGCTGGTGCTAGGATTGCACGGCGAAAGCATTCACGGGCCTTGCTCGCACTTGCTATGCAAGCTGGCATGGGCACAGAATTTTGTTTCCTTTCTGCGGCATTTATTTGAGGCTGAGTCCTCTACGGACGTCCTGTGCAGTTCTTCGCTCTTCGCGGCCCGCCGTTACATAACGTTATTGCAAATTATGCTGCGGCAGCAAGAGTTGTCATAGAGTTGGAGTTGTCCAAGAGCTGCCATGCTCGCGACGTATCAGGCAGTAAAAGACACACGCTCGCATAAGTTTGTTCCTGCATGGCCAGTCTTGGCGTTGGATGACAGTGCTCGCAGCCGTTTTGTCAGGGAGCAGCAAGGCAGTTCGTTGTATAGAAGCCATGAAGAGACCTGCAGCACGATTGCAGGGGAAGCTCGTGAAACGGCGCTCTTTATGCGGCTCCGTTTCGCACCGCTTGGAGCGATGCAAGATCCACGGCGCCAAGAAGGTCCGCCAGATGGCGGCCAGACTCAAAGTCCTAGAGGATGGAAGGCCCAATAACCACACCTTGCGCATTGAGCATAAGGTTCGCAAGTCACCGAAGACTACCGGGGACAAGTACGTGACCAAGGCGATGAAGACATACACCGGCAAGAACTTTGTTGACAGACAGCGATCCCCCGGAGATGTTCGCCTGCGGCTCCCCACGGATCGAGCTGTCGCAACTCCAGCTCAGGAGCAGGCGGCTGCGGACTGGCTGCTAGAACACGGGTGGGCTACCGAGCCCAGTGTTTGTGCTGAGTGCCACTCGGACAATGTCACTGAGCTGGTGTTCCCTGCGCATCGGAAAGCGCACTGGCGCTGCTGCAGCTGTGGCTACCGCATGTGGTTCCTGACGCGCACGATCTTTACTGGACTTCGGTGCGCTTTGTCCAGGGTCAAAGCTTTGCTCCTTGCGTGCGCCGGCTCCAGCCTGACCACACGCCCCAAAGTCGCTGATCTGGTCCAACAGACTTCAGTGGGTAAGACCACATGCATGCACTTTGTGCAGTGCTTGAGGCACATTGAAGCCACTGCTGGCGAGCAGATTTGCGCCTCGACCAAACTCTCCGGCAAGGTGGAAGTGGACGGCAGCTTCATCACCCAGTCAGCCAGCGCAACATCCACCACATAACAGAGATTGCGGAGCTTGAGGACAAGCGCAACAAGAAGGGCAAGAAGGTGGCAAAGGCCTACACAGCTCATCTTCTTGTTCTTGGTGCACAAGAGCGCGGGCATGCGCCCGTTCTGCATGTGCCAGCGCCAGTGCTGACTCCGGTCGGAGAGAGCCTCGGATGAAATAGTTCTCGCTGCCGTAAATGTCTAGCCAGTCCCCGGCAGGCGCCCGCCAACGGAAAGCCTCTTGCTTGTGCAGAGCTCCCATTTGCTGAACAAAGTGGAGAAAAAGCAACTTGCCGGCAGTGGACACCCGGGTGCGCTGGACTGACCTGTCAAGAGCAAATGTGTTGCGGTCCCCGTGTCATGTCCAGGACAGGATTGTGAAAGGCCGTTTCGCTGCCGTTGTGAGTTTTTCAGCAGAGCTGACTTTTCAAGAGGAAATCCGCCGACCCCTGCTCCTGAAAGGGGGAGGCGCACGGGAAGGGTGCTGCGGATGCGTTGCCACGATGATAGTTATCATCACCATTGGAGATGCAGAGGATGCTACGATGATAGTTGTCATCATCATCATCATCATCATCTGCAATCTTTTTCATATCATTATCATTATCATCATCATCATCATCATCATCATCAGCACCACCATCATCATCATCATCATCATGCGTGGACATGATTATCATGAGGACTGCTGGTGATGCTGATACGTAGTCGTCACCATGTCTTTGTATAGTATACATTTCAAGTGTGGCGTTAGAGCCCATTGGTGATGCAAAAGATGCGTGGACATGATTATCATGATGATGAGATTGGAGATGCAGAGGGTGCGTAGTCATCGTTATCATCATGGCTGTTGGTGATGCAGAGGATGCACGATGATGGTTCTCATCGATGACGAGAAGGGTGATGATGATGATGATGGGCGACGGCCATGATTATCATTATCATCATCATCATCATCAGCACCACCATCATCATCATCATCATGCAAGTGTGGCGTTAGAGCCCATTGGTGATGCAAAAGATGCGTGGACATGATTATCATGATGATGAGATTGGAGATGCAGAGGGTGCGTAGTCATCGTTATCATCATGACTGTTGGTGATGCAGAGGATGCACGATGATGGTTATCATCGATGACGATAAAGGGTGATGATGACGATGATGGGCGACGGCCATGATTAGAGCCGATTGGAGATGCAGAGGGTGCGTAGTCATCATTATCATCATGACTGTTGGTGATGCAGAGGATGCACGATGATGGTTATCATCGATGATGATCATGGTGATGATGACGATGATGGGCGACGGCTATGATGACGATCCATCATTATCATCATGACTGTTGGTGATGCAGAGGATGCACGATGATGGTGATCATCGATGATGATAACGGTGATGATGACGAGGATGGGCGACAGCTATGATGACGATCCTTATCTTGTTCATATACGATTCAAAAGTGCTGTTAGAGCCGATTGGAGATGCAGAGGATGCGTAGTCATCGTTATCATCATGACTGTTGGTGATGCAGAGGATGCACGATGATGGTTATCATCAATGAGGATGCACGATGATGGTTATCATCGATGATGACAACGGTGATGACGAGATTGGAGATGCAGAGGGTGCGTAGTCATGACTGTTGGTGATGCAGAGGATGCACGATGATGGTTATCATCGATGATGAGAACGGTGAAGATGACGATGATGGGCGACGGCTGTGATGATAATCCCATATACGATTCAAAAGTGCCGTTAGAGCCGATTGGAGATGCAGAGGATGCGTAGTCATCATTATCATCATGACTGTTGGTGATGCAGAGGATGCACGATGATGGTTATCATCGATGATGATAACGGTGATGATGAGATTGGAGATGCAGAGGGCGCGTAGTCATCATTATCATCATGACTATTGGTGATGCAGAGGATGCACGATGATGGCTATCATCGATGATGATAACGGTGATGATGACGGCTATGATGACGATCCTTATCTTTTTCATATACGATTCAAAAGTGCCGTTAGAGCCGGTTGGAGATGCAGAGGATGCGTAGTCGGAGAATCAAGAATGCGCCCATCCAACTGAAGGGGTCGGCGGCACTGGGCGGCAGCCCTTAAATTCATTAATCTGTTGCGGTCGTCATATCATGTCCAAAATGGTTTGTGAAGGGCAGTTTCGTCGCAGTTGCGAATTCTTTGTGCTGAACAGACTGGTCAAGAGCAAATGTGTTGCGGTCGCCATGTCATGTCCAGAAATGGTTTGTGCAGGACAGTTTCGTCGCAGTTGCGAATTCCCTGTGCTGAACAAACTGGTCAAGAGCGAATGTGTTGCGGTCGCCATGTCATGTTCGCGACTGGTTTGCCAAGAGCCGTTCACATGCATGCCCAAGGGTCGTTGTCAAGAGCCTGCGTGTTGCCTGCAACCAAAAAACCGACGAAAGTTTTGGGGAGTTAGCTTTTGGGTGACAACAGACTAACGACCCCTACCCCAGTCGGTTGTTGAAAAGAGAATACATCTTGCGGTTCCCAGGCAACATGCGGTCTTGCACATTGCACATGTGAGGGAACAATGTTTGTGCGCCGCGCGCACGTGTCAAGACAAGGAAGGGCACCAAGATCTTTGCTGACGGAAACCTTGCCTGGCAGAGCACGGCTAAAAAACTGAAGTTGCCATTTGCTTCTGTTTGCCACCAGCGTAAACAATTCACGCGCCCAGTCCATGGTGGATTGGCAGGCACTCAGTGCCTGGACAGGCAGTGGCGTGCGCTTAAGCATTTTCTCGGAGACCGTTTTCAGGTGACCTTCAAAAACATGGACACCGAGTTTTGGACCCAGCCGTTCGTGAGACCATGATGCAGTGGGTGTGGCGGCAGCACAACTTGCCGATGTCTCGGGGCGAGTTCTTGAAACAGCTGGTGTTGTTGCTGAAACAACAAAGCGCCTGAGAGACGACTGCTACGATAGCTGGAGGGGGCGAAAAAGGAGGTGCTCTGTTCCAGTTCCAACAGTCATGTCACCTGACTCCTCAGAAGCCGGTGTGTTGCCTGCAGCCGAAAAACCGACAAAGAGTTTTGGGGTATTAACCTTTGGGTGAAGAACAGACTAAGGACCCCTCGCCCCCGTCGGTTTTTGAAAAGAGAGTTCATCATGCGGTTCCCAGGCAACAATCGGTCTTGAACATGCCAGTATGTTGCCTGCAACCGAAAAACCGACAAAGAGCTTTGGGGTGTTAACCTTTGGGTGAAGAACAGACTAAGGACCCCTCGCCTCCGTCGGCTTTTGAAAAGAGAGTTCATCATGCGGTTCCCAGGCAACAATCGGTCTTGAACATGCCAGTATGTTGCCTGCAACCGAAAAACCGACAAAGAGCTTTGGGGTGTTAACCTTTGGGTGAAGAACAGACTAAGGACCCCTCGCCTCCGTCGGCTTTTGAAAAGAGAGTTCATCATGCGGTTCCCAGGCAACAATCGGTCTTGAACATGCCAGTATGTTGCCTGCAACCGAAAAACCGACAAAGAGCTTTGGGGTGTTAACCTTTGGGTGAAGAACAGACTAAGGACCCCTCGCCTCCGTCGGCTTTTGAAAAGAGTGTTCATCATGCGGTTCCCAGGCAACATGCGGTCTTGAACATGCAAAAATCCTTGACAAACGATAGTTGGGGGCTGGAAAAGAAAATGAGCTTCTGAAAGCAGCGTGCCAGTGGGATTTGGGAACGCAAGAAATTCCCCACTGTCTCGGCCATTTTACATAAGGGACAAAATCCTTGAAACACGATAGTTGGGGGCTTGAAAAATGAGCTTCTGAAAGCAGCGTGCCAGTGGGATTCGGGAACGCAAGAAATTCCCCACTGTCTCGGCGCATTTTACATGAGGGAAAGACGGGGCTTTCCTTTCCCCCCTGTAATCGCAGCTTCGACAAGGTGCTCCGAAACCAAAAAACGCACGATATTACGCGGGCTACTATGGGCGGTGTACCTAGTTGAGTTCAAGAGACCCCTTCGAAAAGAAAAAAACACGTTGGGACAAGTTTGGTGCCGTTGACTTACCATATTTTGCCAATAACACCGCCTATAACCTAAGAAGGACCACCCTGCACACTCCAAAAAACCGTCCTGGTCCAAGAAAACCAAACCTGCCACTGAGAAGTTGGTGTCGTTCACCTCCGCTGTGAAAGGGCTGGACTGCTCCGCCAGCAAAGACCTGCGGTTTCGAGATTGAATTGTCACCTTCCAACTAGGGCGTCCTTTTACATTAAAAATGTCGAACACACTCTTATCTTATGTCTTATCTATTCTGGTATGAAACAGGCCTGGTAATGATTAGAACTAAGTGGAAACCATCTATTTCCACCCCAAGTCGACCTAGAAGGATACCCGTGCTTCTTACCCCTTTCTCCCTATCAGGATTGCTGTGTTGCACATTTGAGGAAAATGACGAGAGCTTGTCCGGAAAAACCCAAACGGGTGGCTGACCTTCTGGAAGCACAGATTGGTGTCCTTGACAAGAACCAAACAGAAACGACTTCAATGTATCTTTAGACGACTGAAGTCAGACATTTCTGGACCCTTTACCACTTGATCCCGTTCTTGCACTCAACGCCCTACCAGAGAAGGATACCGAAACACGCAAGGATCATTGAGGCCTTCATGCATCAGTCTTGGGTGGGGACCAGTCTTCACAAACCAAACAAATGAATGCTCTTGTAACGTAGGACTCCCGAAAAAACACTTCGATTTGCCCGGGGCTCACAAAACATCCTAATATATACCTCCCAGTGGCAATACCTCCCAATCCTACCTTATAAGTAAGGCCCGCTGGACTAGAAGAACGGGTGGCCGGAAACCATGACACGTAGTGAGCGTGGCATGTGATGTCAAACGCGTGCGCGCGCGCCGCGTCAGGGCATCTGTGTTTTTATGTGGGTGTAGAACGCCGCAACTTTGTAGCTTCAGAGCTTTGGCTTCACACGGACAGCCGCAGCTTCTTGCGCAGTGTGGCTTATCAGCAGGTGTGACTATGAGCACTATACGCTACACATCCAACTCAAAAATGGCAAGGTGCTGCTCCCTCTCCAACATCTCGAGAGCCCACAAAGTGTAGTCGCGCGGCCGTTCCAAGGCCGCGCCGCAGGGGAAGGTCTTACTTGAAGGAGCTGATTGATAGCATCCTCTGCTGTCAGGCCGTGGGCCACAATGAGCTAGGCGCATAGCACTGCCGAGCTTCGACTGACGCCGCCAACGCAGCGCATCAAAACACAGATGCGCAACTCTCTGCGCAAATAGTCTCTGCAAGCTTGTTTCGCAAGACTTCGGTTCAAGTTTTTCTGGGCGAGCTCGCTCTCCGTGCAAGTGAATCTCTGCGAGTTGCTCCGTGCAAGTTTTGGCGTCTGGTGCAAGCCTCCCTGCGCACTTTCGCACTAAACACTTTTGACTTTTGAGCTGCGGGAGGGCGCTCGCGCTTACTGAAAGTCTTGTTTGGCTGTAAAACTTGCCGGGCCAGCGGGACGTCAAAAGCCCCGTCGATCCCGAGAGTCAGGCAAACCAATTTTACAAACTCCGAGCACAAAAAGCTCGCAAAACACTCCAATGTTTGCACATCGATTGCGCCAAACCCCGCAGCGCACAGATCAAAAAGCCGCAAACCACTCCTGTTACTGCATGTCGACCACGCCGATCCCCACGGACGGTCGCGCGCAACCAAACAAGTTGCAAAACACCCCAGTTCAAAAAGCACTGGCGTCCCTGCAATTTCATGACAGGCTCCCTTTGGAACCAACAGGAAACAATCGATAGAGAGAGCACATGCGCAAGTGGACGTTATGAGTTTGTGTCTACATGAAAGGACCCGAGAACACCAGCCCAGGTGGCAATCGGGACACAAAGAAAAAACACCAAACGCGGTGGACGGTATGCCAACTCATTTGGAGACGGGTCCCTCCTGGTGTACACGGCAAGCAAGCGGAAGTCGCCCAGCTGCGTGTCGACCGGAAGGTTGAGCCTAGTCTGGCCTGGAGTGATCTTGGGTTCTAGGTAAAAAGATGTTGCTAGCTTCTGTCACCTTGCCGGAGAGGGAATAATTAGTGCCAACTTTCACCCAACTGCAATGTTTTGCGGTGAGGCCTAATCCAAATATTGAATAACTTTCTTCAGCTGTATATCTAAACAGAAGCGTGTGTTCCTGACCAAATCGCCCTTTTTAAGTCAGGCGTCCTGTTCGGAGCGTCCCCTTTAAGCGAAATTGAAAGATAATGGCATTCAGTGTTCAGCGCCCGGTCTTCTATGTGCCTTGAATTGGTCACTCTGACGTCCTTTAAGGCCCAAAAGGCGTGGAAAGCTTTCCTGTTGGCTTGCCTCAAGGGGGGGGGAGAACTCCCAAAGTTGCCTCATGGCATTGTTGCATGGCCACAATCGCCCAGGGCCACTGAACAACTCCTGGAAAGCATTGAAGCAAGGGGCACCACCGGTCTGGGAAGAGTCCAGGGCCAAGTTGCCAAAGCTCAAGGCCAAAGGAGCTGAAGGTCACCCCAAGGTTAACAATGGTTTGTTCAAAAGAGCTTGGGGGCTTCGCTGCCCAAAGCATGTACCATTATGTTTGACTCGCTTGTTAAGCTTCATACCGGCTCTCACTATAAGCTCTGCCAATCCAGGAAGTAGGAAGTTCGTACTTCCTTGAGAGGTTGCACAGAGTGCTCTTCACACTGAAGGATTGGCCAATCCTGATCCATCATCCTTGGCGGGGAATGAAAACAAAGGGGGCCTTGATTCCTTTTCGATAATCCAAAGCAACTTCTTGGTATTCTCTCGCTTCCCTGTACAAACCAAAGGCACAAATAATGAAGATGTTCATCGTCTTGCGAATTACGCCTAGGTGTTTCGCCAAACTAGGGAGCCCTTCAGTCGGCTTCCTTGTCTCCCTTTGCATCCAATCAAAAAGAGGTTTCAACATCTTTAGGGACAAATCAGCGCCGGGAATTGTCAAGCGTTGGACCTCCGCCAATGTTTAAAGGCAACCAACATGAAAGCTAAAAAGGAGTCTGATTCACATTCCAGGATTTCTTCCTTGGATCACCGGGACCCGGTACACTCGGGGCGTGTTGTTGCCGCGCTCTTTGGGCTTTGAAGGGAAACCAAGGACAAATCCCCTATTTCACACCCAATAAACATTGCTCCGGGCTGGGTTTGTCTAACCCCAAAAGGGCGGTGTGACCCAACTAAACAAAGGGCACCAAACCCATCACCCCCAAGTGCTGTATGATTCTTGGAAAGGTCCCAAGCCGGCCAAGTCCAAGCCCTCCGCCTTCGGGCAAATCATGTGGCCTCAAAAGGCGCACCTCCTAGGACCCGGTCCCCTGATTTGCCTCAAAGGCAAAATGTCAGCGTCAAAAGGAAACCCCTGGGAATGAGGGCCTACTCCCACAACCTTCCCAAATTGGGCTTGTCATGCGTCAAAAACAGGAATCTGGTTGGTTCACATGCCCCCAAAAAGTACATTCAAAGGGAATCCGCAGACTTCACACTTGCAAGCATCACCGTTCGGCTAAACCCTTGGGCAACCCCCCCCCCCTCACCCCACCTGCGTCCACCTCCCCCACCAGGGATCGGCCACTGTCACCCGCGAGGTACACGGCGGTGCGCCACACGGCGCCTTTGCCGAAACAAACGCCATGGTCAAAATGAGTTACCAAGTCGAGCCAAGTCGAGCGGAGAAAAGTAGGCGCCGGGCCGGGTAGCATGTTTCAGCATGTTAAAACATTTACAAATATGTCGGTATACATATGTAGATATACTCCTGTAAGCCCCTTACACAACATATACGCTGGTACCCACACATGAAGGGGCATATATGGTTGGGACACGTGAGGGGCACGTAGTCATTCTTCTTGGCCCCATCCTCCTCCAACCAAACCAATTGCATCGCCACGTGAAGCCATGGCCCAATCCTCATGGTTGTCTAATATTCCTTCGACGGAGTCCATGAGCAGGCAAGCGCAACACTTCGAACGGTTGTTCTCAAAACTATGCCTTTGCCTTCCGACCCCCCGAGATGAAGCGACATCTCACCAGTCCATTGAATTATACCAGCGTAGACCCCAAACAGATTGCAAGGACACAATGACGCACTACGCAGGTCAAGCCAACAACAAATGTGCGCCTTCTTGAAAGGACCGCCCAAAATTGTATTCCTCTTGGAACACTCGTGTGCAGCTACAGTGAACACGCTTGTGCGCCAACAAGAAACACTTGGTGCGCCGACACGGGCTACAATGATGCGCCAACACACTCTTGTGCGGCGCCAACGAGAAACACTCTAGTGCGCCGACAGTGAACACCTTGTGCGCCGACAACGGACACCTTCGCGCGCCGACAATGGATACGCGCATGCAGGCGCGCAAGAGAACACGCTTGCGCGCAAGGAACGCTCTTGTGAGACACTAAGCAAAAAAGAGTTCTCTGCGCAACGCTTGGCGCGGCAGCATCTCAAAGGCGTCTATCCTGGAAAAGGCGCAAGCCATGACAGCTGTTGCTTCCCGGTACGTGTTGGGACACTAAGCACAAAATAGCATTAGCTCAGCTTCTGAAGGACTTGTGTCCCTGCAAAAGCCACAAAGCTGTTGCTCGGCTGGTCACATGAAGAAGACATGGCATCCTTCTCACGTCTCCGGCACGCAGCAACAAACAAACAAACACTAAGCACCTTGAGCGCCGCAAACGCTGCAAACCTTATTCATGTGCTAGCTTGGCCGGCACGCTGCGCACGCTCCAGCAAAAAACATTTGCGCGCCGGGAACACGATGACCCAACAATGGACACTTTTGCGCGCCGAAAGTGAACACTTTCATTTGCAAATGAACGCGCTTGCTTGTCAATCATGAGCACTTTTGTGCGCGAACAGTGTATGCGCCAACCACGGACACTTTTTATGCGCCGACAATGAATACGCTTATGAGCGACAAGGAACACTATTGCGCGCCGAGGGAACACTTGCGCGCGCCGACAACGGACATTTTTGCGCCGACAGTGGACACGCTTACGCACCAACAGTGAACACTTGTATGCAAGCTTATGCGCCAACAACGCGCAATTTTATGCGCCGACAATGGATACGCTTGTGCGGGAACAAAGAACACTCTTGTGCGGCGCCAACGAGAAACACTCTAGTGCGCCGACAGTGAACACCTTGTGCGCCGACAACGGACACCTTCGCGCGCCGACAATGGATACGCGCATGCAGGCGCGCAAGAGAACACGCTTGCGCGCAAGGAACGCTCTTGTGAGACACTAAGCAAAAAAAAGTTCTCTGCGCAACGCTTGGCGCGGCAGCATCTCGAAGGCGTCTATCCTGGAAAAGGCGCAAGCCATGACAGCTGTTGCTTCCCGGTACGTGTTGGGACACTAAGCACAAAATAGCATTAGCTCAGCTTCTGAAGGGCTTGTGTCCCTGCAAAAGCCACAAAGCTGTTGCTCGGCTGGTCACATGAAGAAGACATGGCATCCTCCTCACGTCTCCGGCACGCAGCAACAAACAAACAAACACTACGCACCTTGAGCGCCGCAAACGCTGCAAACCTTATTCATGTGCTAGCTTGGCCGGCACGCTGCGCACGCTCCAGCAAAAAATATATTTGCGCGCCGGGAACGCGATGACCCAACAATGGACACTTTTGAGCGCCGAAAGTGAACACTTTCATTTGCAAATGAACGCGCTTGCTTGTCAATCATGAGCACTTTTGTGCGCGAACAGTGTATGCGCCAACCACGGACACTTTTTATGCGCCGACAATGAATACGCTTATGAGCGACAAGGAACACTATTGCGCGCCGACGGTGAAGGTGCTTGTTCGCCAACAATGAAAACTTGTGTGGGCAGACACTGGATACGATGATGCGCCAAGGAGGAACACTCTTGCGCGGCGGCAGTGAACACGCTTAGCGGCTTGTGTGACACACAACTTGTGTGCCAACAGGGAACACTTGCGCGCGCCGACAACGGACATTTTTGTGCCGACAGTGGACACGCTTACGCACCAACAGTGAACACTTGTATGCAAGCTTATGCGCCAACAACGCGCAATTTTATGCGCCGACAATGGATACGCTTGTGCGGGAACAAAGAACACTCTTGTGGGCCGACGGCAGCCGCGCGTGTGCGAGCATGGCGAGCATGTGCTCAGCGGTCTGGCAGGACTGGGAGACAAATGAAGGCACGTGCTGGGAGACAAGTACATGCGCACACTGGCGAGCATGCGGCCCGGCGATCTGGCAGCACTGGGAGACAGACGAAGTCACATTTTGGAAGACAAGTATATGCGCACGCTGGCGAGCATGTGGCCCGGCGATCTGGCAGCACCGGGAGAGAGACGAAGGCGCATTTTGGAAGACAAGTAAATGCGTACACTGGCGAGCAGGCGGCCCGGCGATGGCAGCATGCGGCCCGTGCTTTTTAGAAGAGTGAGAACCTCAACAGTAACCTGTTTCGGGAAAACCCCTCATAGGGTAAATGGAACCTACCTAAAAAGAACTGACATTTGAGGCGGCTCCTAAATGAAGTGGCTTTGCTTTGTGGACAAGTATTTTGGGAGACCTTTTTTCAAAAGTTGCCGTAGGGGATGCCTTGTAGGGGCCAGCCCCACCCGCACGGGTCCGCCTGGGTTGGTCGCCTCGAGCTGCCAGGCCACCTCGCCCCCGATCTCAGAGGCGTCCAGGTCCAGGTCACTGAAGCCCACGCTGCTGGCGCTGGCCCACACGTCCTCGAAAGACAAAATATAACGCGCATAACAAGACACACACACACATGAGCTGCATAAACAAACAAACAAACAAAGAAAATCAGAGCCAAGCACACCAAACGAAGGAACGAGCGAACGAACGAGGGAACACGCAAACAAACAACCGATCGATCGATCGATCGATCTATCTGTCGATCAAGCAAGCAAGCAAGCAAGCAAGCAAGCAAGCAAGCAATCAATCAATCAATCAATCAAGCAAATCAATTCGAGTCGAGTCGAGTCGAGTCAAGTCAAGTCGGGTCAACCAACCAACCAACCAAGCAATCAACCAACCAATCAATCAATCGATCAGTCAGTCAGTCAGTCAGTCAGTCAGTCAGTCAGTCAGTCAGTCAGTCAGTCAGTCAGTCAGTCAGTCAGTCAGTCAGTCAGTCAGTGAGTCAGTCAGTGAGTCAGTCAGTCAGTCAGTCAGTCAGTCAGTCAGTCAGTCAGTCAGTCAATCAATCGTCAATCAAACAAACGGACAAACACAGACAGACAAAAAGCAAAGAAACACAGAACCAAAGGAACTCAGAAACAAAGAAACACCAACTGACAAGGAAACGACTAAAAAATGAAGTAATGAAACAACAAAACTTAAAACTTGGAGACAGACAAACAAACAAACAATCGAACGAACGAACAGACAGACAGACAGACCGACAAACAGACAGGCAGGCAAACAAACAAACAAACAAACAAACAAACAAACAAACAAACAAACAAACAAACAAACAAACACACCAACACAAACAAAGCAAGCAAATAACACAACAAATCAAATCAACATCAAAAAGAAACACAAACAAACAAACAACCAGCAAACAAACAAACAGGCAGGCAGACAGAGAGACAACCAAACAGGCAGACAAACAAATCACCCACATTATGAAATGGGGCCCCTGGAAAATTTGAGCTGCTACGAAACTGATGTCCCCTTTGATCTGCTTGCAGCGGGTATCCTCAAAGCGCATCATCAGTTTGTTTATTCAGATGGTTTTTCACCACTGCCGCGCTTTGCAAAAACTTGAGTAAGCAAACCGCACCATTGCCACCATTACAGGAGAGTTGCGTTGCCCATTTTAATTCTGACCTTGCGGGTCGGGATAACGAGAAGGTTGTCTTGTTCAAAAAATACGAACGAGAAGTATATAGACCAAAGCTGCAAAACCCGCAACTCTAACTGTCGGCATGATTCAAGTGAGGTTTGGGGCGCTTCAAGGCACGAACTCAGCAAGAAGGGAACGAGCCTACAAGGGAGGCACCACCCTCAGGCTAACTAAGGATCTTTGTTGAAGCCACCACAAGTTGTCTCTCTTGTTCAAACCTGAGTGCTTTGGGCCAGCGAAAGTTTGTTTTGGGCTTCTTTTGGACGCCAAATCCTCCTTTTGCTTCCTCGTTGAAATCCATTAGAGTGCTAAAATACGGCAACAATATGCGCATAAGATGACAGACAAATAGCCAAACTGCTGAGTGTTACACTTGGTGAACATCTGACATGTTGCCTACCACTGACAAGCTGGCAGGGCCAAACATTCTGCACCGCATTCCCATCCTCCAGTTTCTAAAGCCTGCAGTTGTTTCGTGGTCGATCCTAGCCAACACAGCAGTCCACAATCCTCGATGGTTTCTTGGGTGCTACACGCGCGATTGTCGCGCGCAGGCTGGAACCTACTTGGTAGCGCCTGTTTGGGTCCCGTGAGAAATCATCACCCCAAACACATGTCAACAGCAGGGACACTTTTGTGGGCGGTTGGGAGGAAGCATTCTCTGAAGGGAACATAAAATTATCATTCTCGCCTGTCGGTTGAAGAAAGGATGGCCGAAAGAAAGCACACATTAAAAGTTGAAAGGAATCCCAATCTTGACGCACTCCCTGAAATGGCAAAACTCAGCGATGCGAAAAGGAAGCAACCGCCAGTCACCGTCAGTGATTTCTTTAACTGGCTGCTCACCCACGCAATATGAATTAATGTGTCTGAAGCCATCACAAATCAATTTTTTGTGGATGGGGAGCAACTCGTTTTGACACACCTGTTTGCTAGTTCAGGGTTCCCTAATCAGAGTTCCTTGTATATCCACTCAAACATCGCTGCACTGAGAGGAAGCTAACAATAATTGACAAGCAAAGGTGATGCTTAAAACCACCAAACACGCGACATAAAAATTGTACCCATGCTAGTTCTGTGGGCAAATGGAACCCGAAAACAAAAACATGTGCAGGTCATACGACGCTCTTAGAGGAACTGACATGCTTAGAGTCCCCTATGTCATTCAACCAGCAAGGGATGTTCAAAGGTTGGGCCACCTTGCTGAACTGTGAAAGAGAAAGCCCATATGCAAATCCATGGTAAAAGGGAACAGACTTGCTTAATGTTTATTACATTTAGTTGCCCCACCTTCTATCTGGTCCCCGCGCGTTTCAAGCCAGTCCTGGATGCTGGCGCTTCCCGGCGTGGTTTGCTCCACCGAGGAAACTGCAAAGACTAGGACGTGGGAGAAGGCGCCGCGACTGGACACCAAGCGGGAAAAGTGTTTACAGAAAGGCAACCTGTTGCCCCATATTTTGGCTGTTTGTATATCACTATTTGGAAAAACAAAAACATCAAACCAGAATCCGCGCTGCGGTGAGGCGGAAGCAAACGTCCTTTTTCCTTATGACTAAGGGCGCCCTCCAGGGCCAGATGCGACACACCTGGACTGTTTCCTAGCGCATGAGACTATGAACTTTCACACCCGTCCTCAGGTGTGACGGCGGCAGCGCTTGGCTTCTGCTCAGCCTTGCGCCTTCTACGCCCCTCACGAATGGCCACCTTCTTCGCGATGGCCTCTTCAGTGGGGAGTAGCCCTTCTCATAACTGGGTCGGTACTGACCTTGGTGGCGTTTCCCTTGTCCGGGTCCATGATAGTCTCTGCGGATCACCGGGCGGTTGATCATCTCCGGAAACTGGATCCTCAGGGCATGCGACACCTTCCTGTAGTCGTATTCGTTGTTCACGGAACGCTCTGCCAGAGAAGACGAGCGGCAGCATACACTTCAGGTTGGAGCTGATCTCGGTCTCCGGACTGGCGTCCTTGAGGCGAGAGAGCTCCAACTCTTTGCGGACGATGCGCTGGGCCATGGTCTCTGGCACGCGCCCCACGCGTTGGGCGAGCACAAGTACTAACATCTCGTTCACGCGGAGTGGCGCTTCCTTGGCCTGAGCATATTCAGGAACAACTTGACGCCAGCAGGGATTGCCTTGCCCTCGCTATTCTTCTGGAGCTTTGTGTGGCTGACCGCCATAGGCGGTGCCAGACAGTTGAGCTCGAAGGTGGAGAGGGGTTCTGGCTTGAGATCCCAGCATCGCTCTTCGTGCTCCTCGAAGAGCTCAACCTCACCATCGAACTGCGGGACGCCATAGCGGCCTGATCGCCATGGCGTTGTTGGGTTACGGAGCGTTGGCTGTGGCCAGCCTGCTCAGTGGTGCTTGCGTGGTTGGGCAGCGGCCCCCGTGGGCGAACTGCTTGTCGGCGAAGGCGCTGTCCGGAGTCGAAGCCCAGGACCAAGCAGAGGCCCAACCAAAGCTCCGCTTGCTTACCATCAGAATCCGCGCTGCGGCGAGGCGGAAGCAAAGGTCCTTTTTCCTTATGACTAAGAGCGCCCTCCAGGGCCAGATGCAGCGGCTTTCGCACACACCTGGACTGGTTCCTAGTGCATGAGACTATGATTTTTCACATCATATCTACATATCTACATATATATATATATATATATACACATATGTACGCATCAACATTACGATGCACCATTGAAGGGATATTAAAGAATTATTTTCTTTTTAGATCGTCCGTTATACAAACGTGGGGAACTATCCCGCTGACTCCAATAACTATCGCAGGCAACCAAGTTTTGTTGGCTCTGGATTTTACAAGCTGGCTCTATTTGGTTGCCTACAATCAGTCCGTGGCAAGGGTGGCCTTGGCAAACGGTGCCCTGTCTTAACGACACGATCATCGTTAGACCTCTCAAAAGGGTGCAATTGGCAAAGGCACCTTCTGCGCACCTATAGGGAAAGCGCAGTCAATCGGCCCGGGAAGAGGGAAAGAGTAGTCCACTCAAAGACGAGTGATGGATCGCAGTTGATCCTCCCAGTCAGTCGCTTCCAAATCAGTCAGCTATTTGGGTCTCTTGCAACGTGTTACATTCTTGCCTGCTAATTACTTCGTGGGGGAACATCCGATGTTTGGCAACAGGCCAAAAGCTTGCTTCGGTCAACCCAACCGACGAGTGACCGAGTGATTCGATGAATGGTAGTGGTAGGTGCTGCCCGGCAGCTGCCAAGCATCCAAACGTGAAGTCTGTTGAGTCACTTCTATGAAAAAGGCCCCCAAAGCACGCACGAGGTGTGGTACGCCATACCAAGCAATTGGGCTTGGGACCAGGGCCTGAAACCCGAATGAAGGGGGGGCGGTCTAATCGACCTGTGTTTGGACTAGCCCCAATAAGGCTGTCGGTCTGTACCTATGTTGGATCCCGAGCCAATTGGACCTACAGAGGTGGTATCTCATGGGTTGACACATCCTTCTGGCTTACAAATCATGAACTTCCGTTTGCCCTACAAATGGTTGGATTACATTTAAAGGCACCGCTTGTTGGACACTCGATCTTCCCGTGAGATGCGGTCCTGGTATCGGCTGGCACCAAGGTGGAGTTCCGATCCGCTGGCTCTTGGCCAAGCAAGGAACGGTTCAGACCAAAGGCATCGGCGCCCAGGTAGATGTTGTAGCTGGCCACCTGAGTAAAAATCAAAACTTGGCGCCACAGCAAAAATCATCTGCTCCCATCCTCAGGAGACCCCAGAAACCTGATATCACATTGGTCTAAATCAAACAAGAACCAGAAGCGCGGCCACACCAATTTCTGGCTGGGACTGTCCCTGACTAGCCCTCATCTACCAGGTTTTCATTGTGGCTCACCTGCCTCGGTGCATGCCTCAAATATGTTCCCTGTGTACCCCGTGTATAACCCATATATATGACCACTGTACCCCCCACTGCTAGATAAGGAAGAACATAAAGCAATCTCCCTGTATACCAAACGAGCAACCAGGCTGGTTAAGTCTGCAATGCAAACACCAACTCCTGCAAGAATCCCCGGTATGCTGGCTAGGTGAGAGTACAAAACGGCTGGCCATCTGTCGGGGTGGCTTGGCAAAGGCTTGTGCAAACCTCGAAAACTAGATATCCATGTTTCTCCAGTACCATTTAGGTGTTTAGAGCGAGAAATGCCTGACTTCCGCTAGGGTTCTTGTTAACATCTCAAATATCCACCTCACCCGCGTAGTTTCAACCAGCTTTTGGAACAGAATGAAACAAACGGAAGCAAAAGGACACCATTTCAGCCCTTGCCAGCAACTCCTGCCAATCTGCCAGTAGCGGTTTGGTGGCCACGGCGCTCATCTGTACGGCTTTTCAAAGGGAGACCAACCCCCTGAGTGGGTGTAACTTACGCGTAAAACTTGCATTTTTTCAGGATGAGAAACAAGCAAATTTCATGTCTGTTCGAAAGGACTTCCGTCTGCATCTGCGTCTGTTGCTTTCTAGCAATCGATATTCTCCAAGGATTCCCCTGGTATTCCCTGAGTCTCCCTTTAATATTCCCCAAGCATTCTTCCCCAAGCATTCCCGTATTCCCCAAGTATTCTCCTAGTATTCACCTAATATGCCCGAGTATTCCTCTAGTATTTTCTTGGTATACCCCAAGCATTTCCTCAGTGTTGGCCTGGTATTCCCCAAACACATGCACGTGGGAAGACTCTGTCTTGGTGTTCGCTGACACCACACTTGCGGGATTCCCCAAAAAACCACCACTCAGGATGTTGGTCTCTGTTCAAAGGATGCCCCAAAAGGAGGCGAACGGCACCGCTGACTGACAAAACAAATCCTTGGAGGAGAACGGTCCAAAACCAGCGAAATGGTTGCAAGGCCGTTTGTCCAAACGTGAAACACCATTGATCGTTAGCTGTGGACTTGAGCATCAGCTGCTTCCAAAGCCTAAGGTGCTAAGAACAAACCACCGAGGCGCAGATGGTGAACGCTTTCCCTCGCTTCGCATCTTCGATTATGAAGCTCTGGGCAAAAGAAGGAAAAGGTGAGGGAAGTCGCCCTGAAGCGGGGCCTCCCATGAGACCAACCAGTGACCCCAGAATGGGATTTCCATCTTTGGGGGGACCAGAGGGGTTGAAACTGCGGAGGCCACTCACCTGCCTTAACCCAGGTTGGAAGGATGTTCTTGGATTGGGCCTGTTTCCTTGTATAACCCAATCTGAAGGATTCGTTTACCGGACAAAGTTAGTCTGGAACTGCTCGCATCTTCGTCCATCGGCATCGAACAAAGCAATCACCCCACCCCCGCACCCGCCACGCGCCTCACTGAGCGGTTCAGTCCACTGCACGTACCTCACTCACTGCAACCAAAGGCTTTCCGCCTTCGACATCCCTGAGAGCAGAATCGCCAAAACAAGTGAACCAACCTTACTGAAATCGGCCAGCCGGTCTCCAAATCTGTTGGTCTGGGCTGTTGGGCTGAGCCTTTAGCTAAACATGGGCCAGCAAAATTGTGTTTGTCTCCAAACCTAAAGATCTTCACCACATGTATACATATAATACATATGTGTATATATATATACACACATAACATCTTCTTTAGTCGCCCCATCAAAAGAAACCAAACTGGTCACTTTCCACCAACCTGATCGTCCCAAAGAGCATCAGTTGCGACATGAGCTGATCTGGCGCCTTCTGCAACAAATAAGCATGTTACTGGTTCTCTGTGCTTCTTAGCCGGACCCTCCCCGCCAAAAAATCGTATCCGCAACAGCAACCCCGAAACCCTGGCCCACGTCCTACTTGGCAGCCCCAGAGCTTTCAGCTGTTGCGAAGAAAAGAGACAGCAGCAAAACACAAACAAGCCAAACATCAAACGCAAAACAACGCTGCGTTCTGTGTTGAAAACAACTGAATCAATTGAAGCCAACTGAAACCCAACCGACTACAAGCAATTGACACCGAGTTGCCCCCCGAGATGGTTCTCGTCCAGGTCGAGATCCACAAAGGTCACCTCCACCCGCGCGAAGGCGTCGCTCAGCGCCGCCACGCCTCGCGGAGATCCAAAGGGGGGCAGCAAAATCCGCGGGAAAACAGGGCGTCCGGTACTTGTGCTACTCAGCTTCCAACTGGCAGGCTTCAGAATCAATCCCGCAAACAGGCAGGACAAAAAGGAAGCTGAGCAAACAGGTTTGGGCATTGCATGGTTCTAAAGCTCAAGCCTCACGGGCAGGAAGTCAGCGTCCCCATTGGTGTTTTGGTTTGGTGGTTTGGCCTCAAGAACCAGGGGTTCAAGTCAATTGAGGGCGCCGCTTTTGGGGCATGTCTGGAAAGGAGCTGATCTTCCAGAGAAAACACCTCCTTTGGTCAGCGGTTGACATCATGAGGCGAAGGATTTCCGATTGTGGATTCAAGCATCACCTTTTGGGGCCAATGTGATTCCCGTTGAGCGGGGTGATGCTGAAGGGAACTTGGGGAACCCTGGGTTTCCGACATAGTCTGCATGTTCTTTGAGGCTCGGTGCCCTTTTTGGGGTTGGGCTTTGAAACTGCGAGACAAACCTGCTTGTTGCCGCAAGGGATGTGCGCTACCTTCCCGTTTTGAATTGCGGGTTCCCACTTCAAGATTTTGAACATGGAGGAAAATCGGGGTTCCTGGTCTGCCAAGTGTTTTCTCAACCAGCAAACAAACCCCTGAAGTCGAATGCTGATGGTGCAGTGCTTGATTGATTCCAATGGTGGCCTTTGCAGGGGCGATACATCAGGAGTCCTTACAGACCACTGCAACTGGGTTTCGTCCGTCCAGAACCTAGCTGAGCGGCTGACAATGTTTCCACAAGCCGATAGGTACCTAACCCCCAAAAGCGGGCCACCCCCAAAGACGAGACCCTGGCAATATTGCCCGCTGCTCATTTATGCATGTGCTTGATGAGAGTACACTTTCCCTTACTCCTCATCCAAAATCCTACCTGGGAATTGTCCTTGGGGCCCCTGCAAACCAGCGGACTGGGATTATTCTATTCCGACCCGCATGAATTTGGAGGACTTCGGGGACCTGGGTGACCTTGCCCCCAGAAAGTCTACTCAAGCAACCTTTGTCAGGCTTCAAATAAAATCCAAATAGGCACCTGGACCCACCTACCCTCAAAAAACACAGGACTTCAATCGATGTCGCATTTCATTTCGGGTACCTATTTGCAGGCTTACCCAAATTGATTCATGGGTGGTGCGAAGATACAACTGGAGGTATTCCCGTTGAAGGGCCAAAGCGACCGCGCCATCCGCGTTTTTCTTGGGCTTCCCGCTGGGCGTGGTTTGCTCCGCCAGCACAGAGCGGGTGTACACCGCGGCCTCCGTGAAGCCTTGGAGCGCCACCTCGGTCGATTTCGAAGGCTCTGTGGCTCGTTTTTTTTTCTTTCTCGAAGGGGTACCCGTGTTGGGAGTTTAGATGGACAATGCGAAACCATGGGCACTCGGAGTTGTCACTTTATGAGGCTCAGGGAAAGGTTGGTTTGAGTAGAAGGCTGAAAA